CAGCTCCCGGGTGGAGCCAAATGTGCATGCGCAGCCGGAGCCGCGCACGCATTCAAACCGCCCATAGGAAAGCATTACTCAATTCTGTCTTCAGGAAGACAGCCACTAGAGGCTGGAGTAACCCTGCAATGTAAACATAGCAGTTTCTATAAAACTGCTATGTTTACAGCTTCAGGGTTAAAACCTGGGGGACCTGGCACTCAGACCACTTCATTGAGCTGAAGTGGTCAGGGTGACTATAGTGGTCCTTTAAATGATCAATGTTCCAAAGCTTCTTTTGAAACGACAAACATAAATTAGTAGGGCTCATATTTTTAATCCCCTGTAAATATACTTTAATTGCCTGCAAGAGAGTATCAGGTTTAATTTATCGTGCATCCCATGTTTTACTGTGAAAAAAATACCTTTGCTCTGTTCTGTGACACGGTAACAGAAGAAGTGATGTAATATCTGTGTGGTCCTTTGTTTGTTTGTAAAAAGACAGACCCACAGTTTTGAAATAATCGTTGATAATGTGCCCCTGAAATGCATCATCTGATTAAAATAGGGAGCTAAAGAACACCATATGATTTCTGCAAGTAATTTAGTAAATGCCTTCCTCAACAAATATTAGAATGGATTCTACAGGTTTCATTGCACAGATGAAGTTAATGCTGGCTAGGATTAGACCAGATTAAGTATGAAAGTCAGATCAGAGAGCTGGCGGACATGAGCAGGAAGGCAACAGTCTTCTCAAAAGCTTAGACAAGGCTCACATATGGATGTTTTCCAGATTATGTGGGTGAAGCAAGGACTTGCCAAGAGATTTAGAGTTAAATTTGCTCTTTGCACAAATATCAAAACAACTCCAGCCTTGCCATTTTTTTCATACCCATGATACTCACACCATATCATCCAATTTGTGCAGAGACCCAGCGTGCACGAAAGAGCAAGCTTCATTCTGCTTTCTCACTACCATTCATTCAACAGAGAGCAAAACAGAGGGCATGAATAATTCAAATATTTACCCATTTTTGTCTCTCTTTACCACCTGTTTACTTCAGCAGTGAATGTTTAAATGTAAATGTTTAGATTAGGTTGATTGTAACAATTAGTGTAACTGAATGCAGTAAGATTATGCATTGATGATATATTTTGGGTGTTTGCAAACATTACATCACAACTTATTGACATTGGTTTACTATTTCTCCATCAAAGCTGGACTTGCATCACTGGAGATGCCCATAAGAGGCAGGCACAGCCGTTTAAGCGGTCTGTCTGTCTGTCTGGCACACAACCTACCTTGCAACGTACCTTACATTAGCACTGTTTAAGCGCTTTCTGCATGGTCCTTGTGCCCTTTCACAGCTAATGACGTGCTGACAATGTGCTTCCTGCATTTGGGGACACTAGGGAATACAATCAGGATGGTGGGACAGGACCTCAAAATCAGAACTGTCCAGCTGAAAATGGCACTGTTGTGTTTGCATGTCTTGCATTACCTATGTAATGTTATCCTATTATTTCCAAACATTGCATTACACAGCGTTTGCCTATTGCAATGTGTTGACCTGAAGCTTCATCTCCAATACCCCTTGTATTAATATGTCCTGGACTTTGGCCCAGTGTTTACATTTGTTATTGCATTTCTAGTAACAATTGTTTATCCTACTGTTCATGCGCACCCCCCAACAACGGGGGATGCTGTGTTTGGGGTAGGGACGGGTGGGCGGGCCTTCAACGTGCATTGACAAAATGCAATTCTTCACAGCAGGCTGACACAAAACTGTAATACAGAACTGTCCAAAGGCCCATCACACAGTGTGAACTCATCTCAAAATCCAAAATCAGGGGACAGTTTGGAGTCCTGTTTATTTATCTTATGTATACCTCATTGATTTCAGCTATTTTCATACACATAACATCCAACTATTCCAGATTCACAGGGCATTCCCCATATCTGTTCCAATCCTGCCATCCAAGGTTTGTTCTCTTGTGTCCTGCTTCTAAGATGTCATTAAAGTGCTATCGCCACAGATAAAATAAATAAACTCCGGGTATTCTGCCTATATGACAATGTTTTGGATGCACTCTGCTTACGTTTTACAAACATTGCATTAATGATGACGCCTGACTTGGTCCTACGTTTTATATACATTGCATTACCAACAATGACCGATATGTCCCTGCTGCTTGCATGCGCTGCATTATTAACCATGAGTAACATTAGCCGTCGTTTACAAATATTGCATTATCAGCAGTGATTGACAGCAAAACCCATGCACCTGAAACCCCTTCCGAAATCCCATCCTTTAATTAAAATGTAGAGAGCAGGACAGACACTATAGCATTGTCAAAAATCAATTCCGCAAAGTGTTTATTTGCAGAAATTATTCTGTTTACCCGGTGGCGTTGTGCGTGCCAAACATTTAAAAAGAAAATGTCTTTTAATGCTGCTTTAATTGAAGGAGAGATTATTAGTAAGGTAAATGTGGCTCTGCTTAGTTTTTCAGATTAAACATAAAATGAGATGTGATAAAAAAAAAAAAAAAAGATGCAGAATTTAATTGAGCGTCAATTATGTATTTCACTGTCAGTCTCTGGAAAACGTGGCCTTAGCAAAGCATCTGCAAAAAGCCAAAGTCTTGACTCAAATATTAGGTACATGGATTAAATTATTTTTGAAGTATGTTCAGCAAGGGTAGTATTGTCTGATTCTTTGAATAGCTAACCAGTTGTACAGTGTGATCTCATTTACATGAAAACAGGGCCTATTCATAAAGTAGGGCTGAAGGCACCTTGACTACATGTATAAATATACATGATTGCATTCAGGAAATGTTGGTGTCCCTAAATCATTCATATATTCATGTATTTACATTCGCAAACACTTGTAAGACTTAAGTGCCTTTCTCCAGAAGATATTTTCAACCACGGATACTCTTCTTTGCGAGGTTACATGCAAAATATTGCAGTGCTGTTGTATTTTAATATTCTTTTGTTAATACATAGCGCAGGGAATAAAAGCACAAGAGTACATTTTAAAATGAGGTGTAAATCCGTTTTCTAGAAATGCTTGCAATCTAAGTTGTGGCAGCTGAAATACCAATTGTATCGTTTGCTGTAAAAAAAAAAAAAAAAGATATACCCTACCAATGAACGGAAAACTGCCGGTGGGGTTAGGATAAATGTTTTGCGCAGCCAGCAAAGGAGGCAAACAAAACGGAGATGTATAAGACAAAGTGGTAGGAGATTGTTAGCCTTAGTGTAAAATCTGTTATATAGAGGTGGGCAGTCAGCTGTAAGACGAAGATGCAATGAAAGTGTAATGGGAAAAGTTCAAAAGAATCAGAGGCAGGTGTGGGAAAATGCTTTCAGCTGTGAATTGGGAGCAAATGGAAAAAGAGAAGAATCTTATTTTTTTGTGCACTGCAAAAAATATATGTTTCAGGTGAAACTGTTAAAGGGGAAAAAAGCCTATCCCAACCTGAAGTTGGTAATTCAGTAACAAAGAAAAGAGAAGAAGGGTGAAGAAAATACGGCTAATGTAGAACAAAGCTGTAAATCAGTTGTGATGTGTTCCCCTTAAATAATTATTAATATGTGCATTGGGCTAGATGTGTAGATTAAATGAAAATGAACTAAAACTCGTTCTGTGATTGGTGTCTGCTGTGCTTGAGTTCATGTGTATCTAGAATGTTGATTACAGGTTACAGCATCCTATGGAGGATGTATATATTGCTGCTCTGGGATGCTGTGCTTGGCATTTCGAGAGTGTATCATTGGCGGGATTGGTAACAAGGAAATCAATACATATTTCTGATAGAGGTCCCTGGGCCTAACGTTATAGAGACAAGAATAGTCAAGGACAGGCCGAGGTCAAAGGGTATAGAAATATATCAAGACATGAGAAATCAGGCCAGTCGAATAAACAAGCCACGGTCAAATTTCAAAATAAGCCAATGCAGAATATGCGCACTCGGGCTACTAGACACCAGAACAGGGCACGGGACTCTTGATGGGCCAAGTTTAAATAGCCCTAGCATCTGACATAAGGAGGATACCAAATCATCATCGACCTGCAACGCTATAATGACATCACATTTGTGTCAATATTGGCTATAAATCTAGTGTGGTCCGCATCATTTTCGACACTGTGATGACGTGAGGTAATTGTCAGGATGTCGTGCACTAGAATGACACAGAGCATGACTAGGTAACCTGACAGTCTTGCCTTCTTCAACACCATAAACTTATAGCAACAAATATGTGAGAGAACAATACAACATTAGCACATGTAAAAAAAAAAAAAAAAAAATTCTAAAAATATATGTATTTTAATAATACATAATATACTAATAATGTTACTATGTTACTTCAGACTGTGATTTGGCTTTTCTGTCCGGAGTGAGGTTGACTCTTACCTAGGTTGGCCAGATCCATCATGTGGAATCTAGAAAATTAATTAATGTATCAGTCCTGCAGCCTATGAATTATATCAACTGCATGGCAGTACATTTTATAATTTATTTAAGAATACATGGTAACTATGGCAACTCTACATCTAGCAGAGAACTGGGGGATACCAAAGAAGCCACAGTGAGAGAGTGGTATTTGGATATTAATTATTAAAAAAAAGTTTTTTGAACAAAAGTATTTCTCTCTTCAAACCCTAAACCTGTATAGATTATTATAATGGTTATGGTCAGTGGCGTCACTAGGGTTGGTGTCACCCCAACCCCCTTAATAATGTGTTGTTTTTTTGCTTTTGTTTTTTAATAATGTAACTTGTAAAGCATAGCCCCCTTCACCAGTCCCCTGCCCCCTTTACCAGTCCCCTTTACCAATCCTCTGCCCCTTCATCAAATCCCCAGCCCCCCTTCACCAGTCCCCTGCCCCCTTCACCAGACCCATGCCCATTCACCAGTTCCCTGCCCCCTTCACCAGACCCCTGCCCCCTTCACTAGACCCTTGCTCCCTTCACCAGATTGTGTTCCATTGAAGGGGGTCTGAGGACTGATGAAGGTAGCCTGGGGACTGGTGAAGGGGAGCTGGGGATTTGATGAAGGGGGCAGGGGATTGCCCCTGCCCCCCTTCATCAAATCCCCAGCTCCCCTTCACCAGTCCCCAGGCTACCTTCATCAGTCCTCAGACCCCCTTCAATGGAACACAATCTATTTAGTAGAAATCCCTGGATCCAGCTGTCAGTTTCCCACACCACTGAATCACAGACTGAAGAGCACTGGCTGCCGCCCTCACACACACTGAGCGGATTCTTCCGCAGCTCCCTGAGAAAGCTGAGCACGTCGACGTCGCGCCTCCATGCTCCTCCTTTTCCACGCACCAGACCTCTGCATCACCCATGTGGATTCCTGGCCGTGGCTCTACTCACACCATTCGCAAGTCAAATGCACAGCAGCACTATGCACTTGACTTGCTTTGCACTGTAGGCACAGCGGCGTAACAAGGGTTTCAGCGTCCATTCCCCCCCATATTTCATATCCCCCCATTTCATGTCCATCCCCCCCATGTACCATGCACACGTGTTAGGAACATGAAATGTTTATACAAACAGAACCTTTACACTTGTATAGTAAGTAAACGAAAGACCTCCCAAATCATACCAAATTGTTTTCATGCATTTGTGGGCCAATGCTGAAGTGAAACTTAGTATATCTACTAAACTGTTCTCACGTCATTTCCTATAAATCCTTATTATCACAGTGGTTCTGTCAGTCTTATAGAGCAGAGAGATTAGTTTGAATCTAATGTCAGTGCATGTTGATGGCTTTACATCAACTCCAGCTACATGTACTGTTAGTCATCATTATACCTTTTATTCTAGCCATTCACATTGCTTATATGTTGCCTATTTCCATTTATTTTCTTTAGAATTTGCCTCTAATTCAATCTCTAATGTAGTAACTTACTACACGTTTTACCAACATCCAACTTTCTGAAAAATAAATACATGACTGAACACAAAGAACAGACAGACATTACATGAAATGTACATATATTTTGTCCTGTTAATATCGCCGAAAGAGATTATACATTACAGTATAGACCCCGTCCATGGAACGTCACATGAGACATCTAGTGTTCACGCGGTCAGTGCAGCAGGGCAGGGGAGGAGCCCCACACAGCCACAAGACAGTACTATGCGATGCTGATTGGATTCGGCGATCGCATAGTATAAAGAAGAGACAGCGGCAGCGGTGTAGCTTAGCTCGTTCCGGGACACTACATTGCCCCGGAATGAGGGTGTCTGGGACCCGGGACAGACTCTCAAAATGCAGGACTGTCCCGTGTGATCCAGGACACACGGGCACCCTGCCCTCACACCCCTTGTGACACCACTGGTTTTGGTGATAGAAAGCAATGGGAGAAATGCACATTTTTGTCATACTATTTTTCAAACGGTTTGACAATACTCAAAATGATACTTCCTGCTTGATCCCAGAACCGACATTGTACTCATAACCATTTATAGCACCGATTTACAATACCCAGAAAATAAACTGTTTGTTCTGAAATATTTTGGAGAATTATTTACAAACATCATTTATATATTTTAGCAATTAGAATGTAAGAAAATCATGATTTTTTAAAAACAAATTGTAAGCAAATATTCAGTATCTATCCATTATATATAATATTAACCTTCAGAATCTATAATAGTTGAAATAACCAAGTCGGAAAAGTTTTTTTTGTGATTTTGTAAGCATCTCTTACTTAAATGCTTATTTAGACCCTTCTTTTACTGTAGGCACCCAGACAACTTAAGCATAATGAAGTGGTCTGGGTGCCGGGTCCAGCTAGGTTCAACCATTTTTGCTGTAAACATAGCAATAGCAGTTTCAGAGAAACTGCTATGTTTACAAATGGGTTAATCCAGCCTCTAGTGGCTGTCTCATTGACAGCCACCAGAGGCGCTTCCGTGCGTCTCACTGTGAAAAGACGCTTGTGTCCATAGGAAAGCATTAAGAATGCTTTCCTATGGACTGGCTGAATGCGCGCACGGCTCTTGCCGCACATGCGCATTCAGCCTATGACGGAAGAAGAGGGAGGAGAGTCCCAGCGTCGAGGGAACCCGGTGCTGGAAAAAAGGTAAGGGATTAACCCCTTCCGCCCCCTTCAGCGCCACGGGAGTGGGACCCTGAGGGTGGGGGCACCCTCAGGGCACTATAGTGCCAGGAAAACGAGTATGTTTTCCTGGCACTATAGTGGTCCTTTACCATTTATTTTAATCAGTAGTGCCCTATTGGGCATTTTGGACTTGTCACCTTGCCCCTTTTATGGATAAAACTAACACTAAATAAAGCAATAAATGTACCTGGAATCCAGCGCCAGACAAAGCTATCCGTGCTGGTTTCCATGCCCTATCTTACGACTCGCCGGCCGAGAAGCATTTGATTGATCAATTGTGCACACGCTCTGAGTTGGTAAGGGGAGGGAAAGAGGAAGGAAAGGAACATTAAAAACAAAAAACAAACAAATCACAAGACCATTAAGTGTTAACAGAGAAGGAGATTGCTTAAAAAAGGAAGGAAGCAAGGCGAGATAAACGCTGCACGTATAGACTCCAACCATCATGACCACCTTTAAAAGCAGAAGTGGTCATGGCGGTTGGAGTAACCCTTTAAATTTACTGTGTAGTAAATAAACCTCACATAGTATTTTATTGAATCACTGTTTCTATTGAAAAGGTTCTGACTGACGTTCATGTATTCTGTGTTTATTTCTAGTAACATACATACCAATATCCATTTACTACAATAACGTGTTTTCCAACACACATGCATTAGTGTAAGAAGTCATGACCCCTCATAGGTCATGGATAATCCGTATTATAACCTGCTGTCTGGATCCTTGACTATTTTCAGAAGATGACATCTTTTACCTTGTTAAGCAGCTGTGCCAAGGCTTCATGAATTACTTCTGAGTCGCTCATCCAATTTGTCTACTGTGAATATTGTTTGGTTTCCCTATATTTTCGGGCTCTTTATTCCATGTGCCTCTTACGCCAATGATTTAGCAGAATTCTGCAGAGCTCTTTCCGATAAAACCTCTGCATGGTAACGATTTATAATACAAAGATAATACCTATGCTCTAGATGGTTTACTTAAATGTATTCTTGTAGCATTGTATAACTTTTATACCTTGCCATTCTTTTAAATTCATTATATTGAAATTAAATTAAAAATAATGAAAAAAAAAATACTCAATATTTAGTTTTTCCTGCATTTGCTGCAAATTAGCATTTCTTGTCACGTCTGCAATAAACTCTCACGAACCCAGGATGTGACTTTGCTAGTCCCGATACTCACGTGTCATTAGCACTTCTGAACTGATCCCATAAGCATTACTCTATGGCCACTGCAAGAGATTCTCAGAGTTGAATTTCAAACGTCAGTCATGAGTGTGACTGCGACAAGTGACTCAATAAATTGCGTATGTATACCATTTCTCTTTTCCGTCTTAGATGATCCAGTAATGTGATATCTGGTGGGCAATGTGTGGTTTTACTGTTAAGTTTTGCTTAGTGTACGTGAAGTGCCTAGGCCAGGCATAGGCAACCTTCGGCACTCCAGATGTTTTGGACTACACCTACCATGATGCTTTGCCAGCATTTTTGGGTGTGAGAGCATTATGGGGGACGTAGTCCACAACATCTGGAGTGCCGAAGGTTGCCTATCCCTTGCTTAGGCTATATGGCACGCACAACTATGACAAGGAACTAGGATGGCGGGGATTTTTTTTTTGAAGCATGATAACTTTATGCTCTATTGTTGGTGCTGTTACTGACTGTTAAAGGGACACTACAGGCACCATAACCACTTTATATATGTAAAGTTGTTATAGTACCTGGACTCTCCTGACATCGTCCCATGGATCTGGTTTAAACTGTTTTCTCCAGGTCCCATTGGAGGTATGGTTTAAGCTGAGTTACATTCTACCTTAGCCATACAAATTCATTCCAGCTATGGGTAACAGTGAATAGTTGCAAGTGCTCACCTGTTGTTTTCAGCCAATCATTCCAACCCATTTCTAATGCTTAGCATTAGTCTAAGCGGCACAGAGTGGCTTGGCTGCAGGCACCTAGGGACTAATTTAACATTGAATCTTGGGATGACATCAGGGGACTTCTAGTTCCGTAACTGCTGCAATGAGATAAAGTGGTTATGGTGCCTAGACTGTCCCTTTAATTGTGTAAATGTTTTGACTTGCCTTATAGTGAACTTTGTTGCATGGTGTTTAAAGATCATAGTGATCTAATCTGGGCTTTGCTGAGGTGACCACATACTTTACTTAATTTTCTTAGTTTTACCTTACCATTACATTTGGAATACTTTCTTGTCATTGAATAAATTAATTAATACACCAGACTGAGTGGTGAGTGTTTAACTGCGGGTTCATGCAAGCAATTAGCCATGTATTTATCATACTCTGTGTCATTAAAACGTAAAACCCATTTTAATCATGATTCTCTCCTCTTCTCAATGTCAGCCTGTTTCTGGATCAGTACAGAGCTTGCCTGGTTGATGCAGTAAAGAGATTACTCCAGCCCAGTGTAAGTATGTTTCTATTTTCTACTGAATGCAGGCTTCAGAATAATTAGTCTGTGCACAATGATTGAGACAGTAATGGAATGGCAGGATTAATGTCATGTAATACTGTAATTCTTATTATGTCCAACTTCAATTGAGTCTTCTAATCTATCAGATTCCTTCCTAATCATAAACTAGAAAACTTCTTATACTTGGCCTTGTGATAAGGCGCACAGTGGGTAGTAAAATAAATGAAGCCGCTTCAAAGATAGTGTGAGATTATTTCTTTATCAAAGCGTTTCTTAAGTATTTTCCTTTGATAACAATGTATTTGCATTAAAGTAAAACTAAGATGTTTAAAGTTTTCTGTTGCCTTCTGTCACATGTAATCCCTTCGGCAATGGCCATTGACATTGTCTTGCTTTCTGTACTTTTTCATTGGTTTTATTAATTATCCTTTTTATGCAAATATATTGTTTGTTTAGTCTTTGTTTACATGTGCTGCAATTGTCAAGAAAGCTTTCCGTTGTAGGCTATGGCCAGCTATTGCGTATGGATGAATACACGTGAATGGGTTGATAGTATAAT